CCCCAAAACCCCAAAACCCCAAAACCCCAAAACCCCAAAACCCCAAAACCCCTTCTAAAACTATTAGTAGAAATTAAGTTTGTATAAATATGGATTATTTAAGAGAAACTACAGTAAGAAGTCCCAAGGCCAGAGCACTCAGTCAAAAGCCCAAGAGAGGTACAGCCAGGAGAGTTAAGAGATACAGAGATATTTTTAAGAAGACAAGGCTTGTGAGAAAGCTAGACTACCAGTGCCTAATGGCTCAGTTAAAGAAACATCAAAACAGGATGAAAGAGAGGAAGGCGAAAAGTCCTTATTTATGAAGGCATGAGTCACCTTTACTGCCGTATCTTCAAATTCAACAAAATACTTTCCCCTACAATGCTTTTGCCAATACCCCAGAGGCAAAAATATTCGGTGAAACAATAGACGAGATCGAAAAGAAAAAGACAAAAAAGTTAATAAATATCATTGAAGATGTTCATAAATAACATTGAGCTCCTCGCTGCTTCTAGAGTATTTGATTGTAAGAAATATGCACTCAATTCTCCTCGAAACCTGAAGCTTGTCTGTCAGAAATTAATGGTCAAGAAAAATACCAAGAAGAGGTGTTAATATAAGCTGCTTCAGTTAAATGATCAATAATAACATTAAAATCTAGAGCCCCAAAAAATGGATCTGTAATTGTAGCCGTATCTATAATTAACTAGATTATTATCCCTCCCAACTTTAATTTCTCAGAACCCTCAAGAACAACTCATCAAGCATGAGATTAATAAAGTTTTAATTTGCTAATGGCAAATAGAACTTAGGAAGACTTACCTTTAATTATGTAGTGTATTGTTAACCAGTCTTAATAATGTAATTGCAAAATATAACGTCTGAACTGCTGATATGCACTGAGGTATTTAAGAATAAAGTTAAAGTATTCCTCCTAATGATTTGCATTGTTTATCCTAATTCTTTAACTTTACTTAACTAATCAAAAGAGATGTTCCCAAACCTTGAGAACTTAAATTTTAAACTTCTTTCAAGGACTTCAACTATTTTTTACTCTATTCCCCGCTAATCTACCAAAAACCTTAAGTTAAAGTACTGGGCTAGTCACAAGCTGTGCTACATTAATTTTGCTAATTAAACAATCATTTAAAACCACAACAACTAAACCCATTCTAAACTCCCATCAATACTCTAAATTCTTCCAAATAACCAGTATCCTTAAATATTCTTGAACTATCTGGCCTACAAAGCTAGCTTGCTTAAACTACCAAAACCCTGAAAAAGACTTAACAGGTTCCAGAAGTAGCTTCCCCTTACAACTATAAGGCTTAAAATTTATAATTTTATTGAAATGAAGGTCACCGCATAGCTTCCTTATCGACAGCTTATTGTAGTAAAACAGTTTTATTCCAGTATTATAAATTCACAGCAGATTGGCTTAATAGCAGGTTTATTTCAAAGACTTGATGTGGTCCTTCTCTGAAGTCTGAAGAGGGGTTAAAAGAGATTTAGACCTCGAAATCGGTCTTGGAATGTTGTGATATTTCTCCTGTGCTAAATAATAAAACCGGATTTTTATTACACAAATTACTAAGAAAACATAATTTTTAAAGATTTATTGGGTATTTTTCAAGAATTTATAAATTTAGCTTCATCATACCCCATTTTGTACCTAAGATAATAGCTCTGAGAGATAACTCAGAGACAGATTTTAAGTGAAATTTTGGAAAGATTTAGGTTTACATCAACTGAAGAAATTAAAACGCTTGATGATGTCGATAAACCTGAGATAGTCGTAATCCTAGAAAGTTATTAGTGCCCATATTTTTGAAATTTTGATGAGTTTTTCAATTTTGAGAGTATTAATTGGGGTTTTGGGGTTTTGGGGTTTTGGGGTTTTGGGG